ATGTCCCTCAGCGCCGTCTCCCCACAGCTCAGGGGGGACCATGTCCCTCAACGCCGTAACGCCACAGCTGGGAGGGAGAGGACCATGTCCCTCAGCATTGTCGCCCTACAGCTGTGGGGACCATGATGTCCCTCAGCATGGTCACCCCCACAACCGGGGGAGTGACCAGGTCCCACAGCCCCGTCACCCCCACAGCCGGGGTGTGACTGAGACCTACAGTCCCATCACCCCCACAGGCTGGGGGGAGCTATGCATCCCTCATCCTTACAGCTGGGGGGAGTGACCGCATCTGACGACAGCCCTGTCACCACCACAGCTTGGACCTGCAGGGACCTAGAAGGGTCACAGATCCCAGACAGAAGTTTGTGCAGCGAGTGGCAGCCCGTTTCCTGCTGTGCAGACAGAAGACCCTGAGAACGTGCAGGAATAAGGACCAGAGATCACCTGGGAGAGGGTGCACTCAGGGCTTCAGTTCTCCGAGGAGAGCGAACAGGAGGACACAGGGTCCACAGTGTACACAGCAGACAGTGTACACAGGTGTAGAGTGGGTACAAGACAGATAGTACAGGAAGACAGAGGGTCCAGGGGGACAGAGAGCCCAGGGGGACAGAGTTTACAGGAGGACAGAGGATATAGGAGGTCAGTGTGTACAGGTGGACAGTGGGTAACAGGCAGACGATCCAGAAGGACAGTGTGTGCAGGCGGCCAGTGGGTCCAGGAGGTCGGAGGGTCCAGGGCACAGAAGAGGCAGTGGGTTTAGTGCACACAAGTGGTAGGGGGAAGGGTACTGGCTAGAGAGCAGGGGTAGTTCACTGGATCCTGTCTCCCATGTCCCCCTGCCCCGGCCACAGTGCCCACATACCATCCTGACAGGCCAGTGCTGCTGCACCAACCTTCTCTGTTAGGGGCACCCTCCCAACCTGACACCCCTTTGGGTCCAGCAAATCCCCAGCACCCACAAGGTGGGGGACCTGGATCCCTGCCGCCATACATCTCTACAAGTGGGGCAGCAGGTAGCCACCAGGCCAGAGCTCAGTGGGGACTAGGCAGGGGGACAACCATATTGCAAGGTGCCCTCTGCCTCAGGCCAAGGGGACAGCTGAGCAGGCCATGGTAGCAAGGGCATGCTGTGAGCACAGCATGGGAACAGGATCTCCTCGAGCGTCTGCCTTCTGTTCACCAGGCACCCCAGGACCCATGACCAAAGAGACTCTGTGCATAGCCCTGTCCACTTACCCAGAAAGGTCTTGTTGCTGTGCAGGGACCTGCGGCCACCCCAGTGCCTGTCTACCAGGTCCAGGAGGGCCTCCAGCAGAGCTGTCTCCAAGGCTGCTGTCTTCCCAGGCAGGGATGAGCAGAGCTGCAAGGAGAGACAGGTCACGTCAAGGCACTAGACAGTACAGGATGCACCTGAGGTGACCACGGCCCTGTGCTGACAATGCATCGTGGGCGACCACAGCCCTGAAGTCCCAACACACCATGGGTGACCATGGCCCTGCACCCACAATGCGCCTTGGGAACCACGGCCCTGTGCACACAATGCATCCTCACATCCTGGCATGGACACTGACCACTACATCCCACTGGGAGGGCACTAGCCCTAGGCAGTGTTCTCTGGGACACTGTAGGAAAAGGCTTTGGATGGAAAGTTGATGCCATGGTTCCAGCCAAGTCTGGTCCAGGAGTTCGGGGCCCACATGGACCCTAGGCCTGCCCACGGGGATACGGTGAGGCTAGAGTTGTCTGGTCAGTAGGCCTGAGTGACCCTGGAGATGGAAGTGGACATAATGCACTGAAGCTGGGTCACATGCAGGGCGCAGCAGGAACAGGCTTTGCACAGGTGTGAGGTCACTCACAGGTGCAAGGCTGAGCACAGCTGAGGGCGGAAGCTCAAGTGTGGAGTCAGGCACTGGGTCAGGAGCACATACAGGTGTAGAGAGACCACAGGCACAGCAGGCATCAATGTGAGGACCAGGCAGAGGTGCAGGTTAGCACATGGATCCGTAATGCACAGGAGTGGGGCTACGCACAGTGTGGAAAGGTGAGGAAAGAAGGGAAGTAACAGGTAAGGGGTCACACAAGGGAACAAAGAAGGTGTGGGTGGCGTCCAGACATGAGGTGCGTAGGTGCAGTCACACACAGGCGTGGGGCCGACAAGTGCAGCCACAGGTATGGAGTTACACACAGGTGAGGGGCTGAGCACAGGTATGTGGGGTCATGGACAGATGAGAGGTCACACACAGGTGTAAAACTGTGTACATGTAGGGGGTCACACAGGTGTGGGTGAAACACAGATGAAGAGGATACACACAGGTGCAGAGGGGAGCACAGATGTCAGGGCTGGCAAATACCACGCCTCACCTCTGTGGCCACGACCAGTCAGCCCCTCACCTCTGTGACCGTGACTGTGGTCAGCCCTCACTTCTGTGACCATGACCAGTCAGCCCTCACTTCTGTGACCACGACCTGTCAGCTCTCACTTCTGTGACCACGACCTGTCAGCTCTCACTTCTGTGACCATGGTCACCCTTCACCTCTGTGGCCA